ATGGCTGGCTGGGGAATTCTGGAACTTAAAGTCCACACATCTTCAAGCTGTCAAGGTTGAGAAACACTGCCTTATAAGGTTGCTGTGAGAATAAAATGTCACCAGTCTTCAAGAGCATAGTTTCATGGAGCAATGAAATAGGTCAAGGTTTAATGTTTGAGCACATGTTCTTTGTGCAGGAACCCCAGATTTTATCCTTGCTACCTCTTTTGTTTATTTAAGTTTTAAAATTCAATAAATGTATGAAAAAGAAAAATATATAGAATTATGACTTCCACCCTTCTTTCCATCAAGTAGTGATCATCTTAGTCTTTCCCCTCCCTTTTTCTCTCCTTCCTCTTACTTTATAATTCCCTTCCCTTTCCCTTTTAACCCTTTTAAATCCCCAAATCCATAAATCATCCATTCAGTCTTTTCTTCTTTCAACAAAAAGTCGGTTTAAGACTTCCAGATTTTCAAAAAAGTCTTTGTCATTTTTTCCCTGACCAATCTGGTCAGCTTCACCATTTCCACAAGTTCTGTCAATTTTATAATCCAATCTTCCACCATGGGAATTTCATTATTTTTCCATTTTTATGCATACAGTATTCTTGCCACAGTTAAAATATATAGCATTGATTTCTCTTATTTCTTTTCCAATCCATAAGACCCAAAAGAAACAATTTTGGTTTCATTGCAATATCTTTTGCATCACTGTATGAATCTGCATCCAAAATTTCTTTGCTTTTTCACAAGTCTACCATGCATGATACAAAGTCCCCTCTTCCTTTTCACACTTCCAACACTGGTTTGGTATTCCTTTATACATTTTTGACAGCTTGATTGGAGTCATATACCAATGATACATCATTTTATAATTTTTTCTCTTAGATTATAACACAGTATAAATTTAATATTAGTTTCCCCCATTTTCCCCCATGTATCCATATTTATATTATAATCAAAACTTGCAGCTTCAGATTTCATCCTTGCTATCTCGAGCTACAGTACTGAGCCGGATGGATCGATTAACTGATTTGACAGAGCTCCTTTCTTTATTCCTGTTTTTTGAGGGGGGGAGGGATACATAGTACAACAATCTGCTTCCACTACAAATCTTAAGAAGGCACCTTGCACCTAATTCCTATCTTCCATATCTTCTTTCCAAACAAACATGTTCTATAATATTGGTTGTGGCTGTTAGAGTTGATCATAGGCAGAATTTAATGAATTTAAACATGTTCACTTCATCAGACCCAAGATAGTTTTCACACAATATGTAACATTGGCATAGTTCAAATAACTGTACATAATTATTTATAAGTATTTATTTTATTTATAAATTATACCTTGCATCTTTTAGGCACCCTGTATGATATGCAGTAACAATATTAGAGCATAAATAAAAATAATTGGAACCCAGTTGCTATAAAGCCAAAAGAACGACAATTACAACACAAGGCCACGCATTTTAACAAATCATACCCTGTTGAAATCAGTAGATTTCCTTCACTCCTTGCTAAATTTACATAGAAGAGAATCCTATGCATTAAGTGTGACTGCCTTCCAAATAAACATTCATTCAGTTTCACACTTTACGTTCAAGTGTGAGATTATGTTTGACTGGTTTTAACAAGAACTAAAGTTTTATTGATTTAAATGAATCCAGACTCCACCTAAATATGTTTATCTTACATCTTAAGTGGTCCAAGACATGCTCAAACAGTTTTCCTGAGGATTACGTCTGCCAAACACCTGTGATTCAAGTGTTATCTGTTACTGCAGCTATGAGACAATCCAAAATAAAACTATAAAATTAAATCAGGTTACCTTGTGCAAAAGCAATTCTCTTATTCGCCCCTAGAGGTCACTATGGCAGTTTAAAACTCCTACAGCGCAAAAAGGAAATCCAAAAATCCACAATCTGTTTTAAGCTTAAGACCTAAAGACAGGAGGACAGACGGACAGACCTAAAATCTTTCATGTACTGTACGGGGGTGCAAAATACATAGGTCCAACTGAACAACTGTTACGTTTCATTGTAATGTTGTATCACAGTAATCACATTTTAAATATCTGGAGCAAATAATGATTCTACTGTTTGTTGAATTTCAACATTTGTAGGATGATGAAATTAAGTCAAGATTATTACAGGTATCTGAGAGGAAAGACCTAGAATCTCAGTACAGCACCTGCAGGACCCAGCTAAAGGAAGAATAGATAGGAAAATATTCTATACACAATCCCAAATCTTGTGCCATACCCAGTTCCTCAAACTTGTCAAATTAAGGCTGCCAACTCAACGGAAAGCATTTTTGAAGGTCTCCCTTCCCAAATAAATCTGGGTGTATATCACCTTTCTCTGCGTAAATCTACCTGTGCCAGGAGCCATGCTCCAAAAGAGGGCCAGAGCAATACATTTATGCTGGACACTAATTATAATAGACACTTCGTCATTTTTCCAGGATTGAAAGTGATTAGACAGATCTGGTCCTTACTGAGTAGAGATTTTAAATTTTATTTTATTTTCCTCTCATTAGAAACTGACACTTTAGAGTAATTCTTATTTGAAAATGGCAGGTAATACGTTTTTTAGGAAAATGTGGGCTCATAATGCAATCAGTACCCTCAATCAGCTACTAAGTATTCACAGCATTCACCATCTACATTATTCAGTCCTGATACTTTGTGGCCTCAGAAAACCCAGAGGTTTTTAAGTTGTTGGAGACAGCCTTTATGGAAACTAAAAACAATTTATTAAAATTTTAAAAGTTTTTTTAAAAAGTTGGATAATAATTTGGGATAGTGAATTGGAGTATTCTATAACACCCAATCAATGGCTCCACTTTTTAAAGAATAGTAGATGTGTTTTTTAGGACTTAAAAACTCACCTACTTCAGCAAAAAATTCTCTTTAGAGTCTATTGGGCCCTTCAGAAAATGTTTTAAAATGTTTTATTGGATGTAGGGAGTTGCTAATTTAATATAGAATACACACACACACACGAGTATATTCTCCATCTTGTTTCTATACATGTAATAGATTATTATAATGATGTAAGCATATTTATTGTACATAGCTTTATTATAACATTGTAATTACATTCCTTCTTAATTTTTATATTTTATTTATTTATTCTTAGATTTATATCCCACCTTTATTTTGTACAATTGAATGTGGCATACATAATGCTCCTGCCTATTTCCCCCCAACAAAAACCCCAGTTCATTTTTTTAAAAAGAAATGGTAATTGCACTGTTTTTAAAGTTTATTTTTTTAAATTACACAATAAATAAATGTAAGAAATAAGAATATGAAACAATCATGACACTGAAACTGAAATAATATATTTCCTATGTATTACGTTACTTGATATACTCTACGTATATCTCCTTGGGAGAAAGTAGGCATGGATTAAATTGTGCTTCCTGCAATGATACAGGACAATTATTACAAAAAATCATATTTAGCACAGCTACTAGCTTCATCTCTGCTGTGCTAGTTATGGTTCCTCATCTTGTAGTAACATGTCCACACAAGCCATGTATTTGTGGCACTCCTGAAATGCAGTACCCTAAACATTGAATTTCAAGTTTTCTAGTCCAAATTGCAAGATTACACTATGCCACCCTCCAATTGGCAATCTAGATGTGTGAGGAAAGCCTCTGTGGCAGCATTTTCAGGTAGAGTAGCAAATAGCTGGCCCACCATTCATTCAAGAATTATAGTTGCTGACTAGTGGTGAACATTGTTCATTTACATACTTTAGCACTGTATAAATATTGGACTATTAAATAAATATTAATATATAAATATTTCCCAACCTTGGCCGCTTGAAGATGGGTGGACTTCAACTCCCAGAATTCCCTAGCCAGCTGGGAGTTGAAGTCCACTCATCTTCAAGCGGCCAAGGTTGGGAAACACTGATTTATGACCAGTTGATTAACCACCATCTGCCAACAAGCTTCTAGCCGTCCTGCAGATCCTGGGCCAACAGGGGGCGCTGCGTGACCAGCCTACCCAGAAAAGTTAAAGCGCCAGCCGCCACCCGCCTCTCTCGCCAACTGGGAGCTCCTCGGCGATAGTGCGCTCCTGAACACTCCCCAGCAGACGCTCCCCGTCCCGTTCCACCTCTCCAGACACACCTCTCGGCCCCCGCCCCCAGCGCCGCCACCGCCCTCGTTCGGCGTGCAGGTTGGCGCTGCCAGGAAGGCAGGCGGGCGGCTGCGCGGGTTCTCGGTCTTTCGGGGACCCATCTGCGGTCTCCATAGAGACTTCGAACAACCGGACCCTTTCAGTTCTGGTGACAATACATGAAAGAGCAGAAGGGGAGGAGGAGCCGGAGGGAGAGCGAGAGGCGAAGAACAGCAGCCGCAGGAAACGCAGCTCCCACAGGGCAAACTTTGCTAGGAGAGGCGCTCCGTGCGCTCCCGGCTCGCCCGGACTCGCTAAAGAAGGCCAACTTTCCCCGCGCGTGCGAAGGGAACGGAGGCGGTGCGCTTCGGGACTCGATTGGGAACCGAGGCTCTGAGCAGCGCCGGCCGGGGAGGCTCGCTGGGGAGGTTGGGCTGCTCTCCGAAAGCGAGGCGGGAGCCGGAGAAGAAGGGACGCGTGCGCCGGTCTCCTGGGTGGGGAAGGGGAAGAGGCGCGTCCCGGCGGAGGTTCTGGGTCTACGCCGCGCCGGACCTCCCTCCCCGCCGTCGGGCTTCGGGGCACCTGACGAGCCGCCGACGGAGACTGGGTCTTCGCCACGCGCGAAGAAACCGCGGCGTTCGCAGCTGTAATGGCGAGGCCGGGGTCCGCCTGGAGAA